TCGACGTGCTGGAAGTCTAGCGTTCCTTTGCCATCTTTGCCTTGGAGATCTTTTCCCACTCTCATCGAAAACAATTCTCCATCATCTTTCCTTTTCCCTTTTCCTCCTTCTTTCATTCCTTTTCCTGTTGATGCCCCTACCCAATCCTTTGGCGGTAGACTCGTAGGTGGGCCTGGCAGGGGCTGAACGACAGCCGGCGGTGGGCCTGGAGGTGGCCCAGGTGGATGCTGTGTACTTTCTTCTTTTTGGTGGTCTGATGGCTTCTTTCTTTCATGCACCTTCTTCATGTCTTTGCCATCTTCGACTTGCTGCACCTCATCATTCTTCTCCTCTGCGCGGTTCCTTTCCTCATCCATTTCATCTTTCTTTGCCTTTGTAGGCTTCCTGTCCTCCTTTCCCCTTTCATTTTTTGGCTTGACTTTCTGGAGCTCGTTCTTCTCCTCTGTAGGCTCCGTGTCCGCTTTCCTTTTCTTCTGTTTGTTGTCATGCTGGGCTTGCTTTGGCTCACCCTTCTCACTTTTAGATTTCTGCTTATTCTTCAGTTTCTGGGCATCTTCTTCCTTCTTTGGTTCATCCTGCTCTCCATGTTTCCTCAATTTTGGCACTTCCTTCTCCTTCTGCGTCTTGGTCCTCTCCTGGTCCTCCTCTATCATGATTGACACGTCTTTGTCCTTGTCTTTCATTTTCTCGGTGCAGCTCTCTTTCTTTCCTTCTGCCTTCTCCACTGGAAGATCCTTTGCCTTCTGACTTTGCTGGTTTCCTTCTGCCTTCTCACTGCCGGAAGACGCCTTACGCTTCCTTGTGTCCCTTATTTCTTTCTGAAGAGTCGAGCTGCCATGGGCTCTGGGCTCTGATGCGCCAGGCATGACAGAGGCTGTGGCCTTGTTTCGGGTGCTTGCATGTTGTCTGCGTGTGCTTCTCAGTGTGTGTGTGTATGCGTTCGTTGAACCATGCGTCTATTCATTTATTTGCCGGTTGGCGTTGGCTAATTTAATGTTGCATACTGGGAATCTGTGGCATACTGCCCATGTGCTTCAAACAAAGGAACCTGTGTGCCCTGTTTTGCGCTGCAGTATTTGCAAGTGACATGCACAGTGGTAGACAAATATACAGAGGCCAATGCTCATGCGCTGCACAGTTGACATGCCTTGAATTCTTGATTGTAGACTCAAGAAGCCACCACCAAATGACCCGGCCAAGCAAGGCTGCAAACTGATTCTGGGGCCACCGGCTTTGAGTGAAAGCCTGAGCAAGGCACACCACCTTAGAAGCAGTTGCCATGATCTGTGCTTAGTATGAAGACCATGACCAATGTATATACTGTATATGTCGGTTTATGTCTTTTTTCATCGCATAAAAGAAATATGAAAAGTGACTGAGATGCGTGTGTTTGTGTAGGTGCTTCGCAGCACTGTAGACATTAGAGGTAGCTTGTCCTGGCGAGTTTGTGCACTGATTCACCGAGCCTTTTTAGGTTCAAGGGAGAACTGCCAATTTTCAATTTTGCTTGGCAAAAACCGGGGTCTAAAATTAGACCCCAGTTCAACACTGATTAGGGTCAATATATCTTGCATCCTGCCCCTTGGCCAAGCAAAGTCCAAAATTGGCAAGGATAATGACACAAGTTGTCAACAAGAGCCTAAAACAGTTCGTGGCGCCTTTTCAATTTCAAGCGCAATATTTATTGTTTATATAATATATATATGTTTTTATACAGGCTCAATGCATCCCAGGGTGCTGTCGAAGCATTTCATTTTATTGCTCATGTACTTGAGTGGACTGCAAATGTCACAGGTGCTGAAGATTTGGTTTCTTAACATTGGGCTGCCAACGTTTTTACTTTGCTTCCCTGACCCATGGTTGAAGCAAAGTAAATAGATTGCTGTGACAGCACGCGTGCGAATCTATAAGACTTGGCAGTGCTGTGATGGCGCGCAATACAGCAATTGTAATCAGTAAGGCGCTGTGAAAGCGCCTGTACAATATCCTGTACATGTTTGTAGGGTGCTGTGACAGCACGGATACAGTTCAGGTCTCATAGCCGCAGCAAGGGCTGCAACTGATATTGAAGGTGCTGCGCGAGCACTGATACCATACACGATACATGTTTAATAAGCACCAAGGAATGGCGCGCAGCACCTTTAACTAGTTCATACGATGCTGTGATAGCATCAAAACTGATCAGGTTTCAGTTTGCAGTGTTGCTGCCCTGCGCTTTTTTTTGTGGGTTTTGGCCTGGGAGTCCGCCTAAGGGCCTAGTAGGCGGACTGCCGGCTCACCACCACACAAATGACATGGTTTTGCCACACAGAAAATTCCAAAAAATAACACTGTGTCTAAAAGAGATTGCACGGCTCAAGTGGGAAACAGACGATGGCTAAGCGTAAGCGAGGGAGGCCACCAAAACGGAAGCCTACCAAGTTTCATTTAGGCCAAGCATCAAGCTTGCCAGGGTCCTTGTGGGGCCTATGGTTAAACCATATCCTCAAGCATGGCCCTACCTGGCTCTATGTAGCAACCTTTCTCTCGCATGCTTTCTGTTGTCGAATAACAGAAGTCTTGCGCCTGCGCGCTCGGGACATATCGATCAAAGACAAGGCTGTACACGTATCTTCAATGAAGCGGGCTAAAGCAGTGGACAAGCGCCTACTTCGAGTGCTGCTACCCAAACTGACCAGCTTGAAACACAAAGGTGTGCGAAGAAAAAGACAGCGCAATGCAGGAGCGCGGGGACTTGTGAGCTGGACAGATGCGTGGTCCTGGCCTGAAAAGCCTTCAGGCTACTTGTTTCCATCAGATCGTCAAGATGCAAAAGAGGCCCGCAGGACCAAGGATACTGCCTGCAAAGCAACAGGCAGACTACGAGAAACCTTTGCTCCAAAATGCAAGGACCCACCTGTGACAAGAACAATCCGGACACATTCAGCAAGACACCGCATGATCAGCGATCTGAAGGCATCAGACATTCCAGACACCATATCCATGAGAATGGCCCGCATCAACGACACCAAGACCTTCGCAAAGTACGGGCAGCTGAGTGATCAACAGGTTGGGAATGTACTAGACCGCAGTGCCAAGTTGAGAAAGACACTCGGAGAGATCTATGGTGTCTATGGGACAACAACCAAACGCAACAAACGTAACTCATGAATGGTCACATGTACAGTGATCGCACTGCAAGCAGTGCGATGGCCCAATGTGAAGTTTCACCTGTTTCACCTGTAAAGTAGCTGCGCTGCAACCTAGAGACAGAAAAGATCATTGTTTGGCAGGGAGTGGAACCCCCCCTTTCTTTCTTAGAATTTGAACAACCGCCAAGCCACCAAGGGCCGGGCCCAGCCATTGCGAAGACGACGCCGACTCCTCAGCCATTGCAACATGTGACCTGTCCTGTGTTACCTTGTTATAATGCGCACAGGCAAATCACGGTGCTGTCACAGCACCCTAAAGAAATATTTGCCTTAGTGCTATCGCAGCACTGCAAGAATTTGTATTCTTTCATATTCTTTCTTGAGTGCTTTTGCAGCACTTTAAGTCTATGTTAAAACCTAGGACTCCATCTTGCTTCTGGACATCTTTAGTATATATAATATATGTACCTAGAAACTTAGATAGATGAACATCTTTGCAGCACATCAAAATGTTTTTAAAGCATCGTTTTTGACACATCGGAGCTGTGCTTTTTTTTGGACACTCTCTCTCTAGTACTGTCTCTTTTGTTCGGAGCTGTGCTTCGCACATTGCAATGCGATCTCTCGAACTTTTGCTAACTAGTGCTTTGCAAACTATTTTGGCGACAACCCTGCACCCACATGCATGCGTAGGGCACGCTCTCGCAGGGTTCCAAAACTAATTGGAATTAAACAAACACAAAGTCCAGGTTTAAAGGACAAAGGACATCTGCCTGAAAGACATCTTCCAAGCGTGGAGAAGTTCAAAATGAACCTAGTTGGTCAGCTTGCAGGCTTGTCCAGCAGCCAGCGTCAAATCTTTCAGCAAAACCACTTGCGGTCGGACTGGCATAAGCCCTTTTGGGCTCCAGCGGACACTGTACACAATTGACATGAGGTCTGACTGCCAGGCTGTATTGGGCAACAGCTTTGCAGCACCAACTTGATTGGTCTTGGCACCTGGATCAGCTGGGTCCGTCACCTCTTGACTGTCTTTGGCTGGTGTGAACCACACATCACTCTGCCGGACGCAATTGAACATACCAGGCACCTTTTCTTGCGGGGCAGCCTCCATCTCGTGATACAAGACCTTGCAGCTGGGCACCTTGGCGCGCTGTGCTTCCACCACAGAATGCAAGGTCTGCATCTTGTTGTTCAGCAACACCTGGAGGCAAAAGGACCCAAATCAAACATTGGCAGCCTTCTGAACATTGAAAACGCCTATAACAGAAAGATTCCACAACATAAGCAAACCATCAACCAAGGCACCCAATCAGTTCCTGATTTCACATCGAAGAGCACATCCTTTGCTGGGTCCATCTCTGTGTTCCCAACATTTTGGGACCCTTTGAAAGCCCCACGCCCAAAGCCCACGAGGATCATGCCTGCCTTCAACACAACCTCGGAACCACTGGTGTTGCACATGTAAATCACCTGCCCAACCCGCACATGCAAGAAGACTCCTTGCTGCTTCACATTCAACATGGGAATGTCCACAAGCTTGCCCTCCTCGATGCCAAGGTCAGCAATGAGAGTGAACCTGGAGGCTTCAATCTTGGGCTTTTTGGCATCAGCGCCGCCCTGACCCGAGTGAGGCCGTTTGACTCCACGTTCCGTGGCATCCTTGTTCTGCGGGGGCTCTGCTGGCTCTGCTGGCTCTTCGCCAAATTCATTACGAATCTCATCTAGCAAGGTGCGAAACTGTTCCCCGAAGTTGTCATGGCAGGCATACTCCTCCAAGAAGACAGGTCAAGGCATCATTCAGCAACTTGGGGCGCCCAAAATTAATCTGACCCCCACAACCCTGTCGACCCCCTTGCCCCTTGCATGGCACATGGCAGGGTTGCGGGGGTCAATTTGAACCCAATCAGGCCACACAAAATATTGTGACAAAGCTAACTTGGAAAAAATCAGCACACACAAAAAACACATCGACATGACATTCTCCTTGACCAAGTCTTCAGGAACTTTCGGGTGCAGGTCTCGACACAAAGTGACGACGTTCAATTTGGGCGGGGCCGGCTCTTGCTCCAGCAGGTCTGGTGGACACTCGCCACCAGTACTCGGGTGACCTGGAATCACAACCTTGCCATCCATGTGACCACGAGCAAGCCATTCCTCAATCAAAACACACTTGACAACAGCTACAACATGGTTTGTGCCTTTCACACATGGACAAAAAGCAACACAGCTATGTTTCCAGCCAGGAAACTGTTGCAAAAGACTGAAACCACTCGAAGGTGGTGGGGTTGTCACAGCACCCAGCATACAGAACTGAAAAGTTGTAGCTCTCTCTCTTGGCGACATACGCCATGAACATCTCAGGCACACGCATGTTGAGATCATAGAGAATGACAGCGCCCCTGCCTGGCATCTCCAGATTGTCCAACAAGGATTCCAGCAGCTTCTCGCAAGCTGCTTGCCCAATCTGTTCCACCCGGCGGCCCCCTTGAATTTCACCTTCATCAGCAACACCAGGCAAGGCATTGTCTGTCAGGTCGGGCGCCAACATCTCTTTGGTGGCAATCTGGCTCGCTGGTGTTGTTCGGCCCTCCTTCAACAGCATGCTTGACTTCCAGATGCATTCTCTCAAAGGAATATGTGCCATCTGTCCCTCCAAGATGCGACCCATATAGACTAGTGGGCGAAGATGGTCTCTGTTGTCCACCTCAGGGTGGTTGGGCCAAATATGAACCTACGTGTATATTTGTTCATATATACGTATATATTTACAACCAAAAAAGCCACACGTTACATATATTAAGATCAGGCAAACACAATCAGGCAGTACTTGCCACTCCAAGCAGGCATCAACACCACAGCCAAAGTAAGGCAAAAAACATTGCCCAGCCTTCTCTTTGAACTGCAGGACGAAACCTTTGTCCACCGTGCATCCAGCCACCGCCAAGCGTTTGAGGCAGGAGTTTTGCAACATCCACAAGCTGTTCTTCTGGTAGGTGAAGACAGGCTCAAGGAGAATGCCAACGTTGTACATCGAATCTCCCAAGATTGCACTTGTGGCTGACGTCTGGGCCGCCATGGTCTGGTTCTTGATTGTGCTTGGGGCCGTCCAATTCAAGTAACACACCGACGCCTGCAACAAAGAGGGGTGAAAGCATAGAAAGAGTTGACTGACTGAAACGCACACAGGCAAACAATTTGACACTGAGGGCCAGACCAATGCCCCAACATCAATCTTCAAACGGGAGACAACTTCAGTCTTGTAGGCTTGGAGCGCCTTGTTCAAGTCGTCAGCTGCCTTGAAGCAGGTCATGAAGGAATGGTTCTTCAAGTAATGCGCTGCGGCTTTCTCAGAATGCTCCCACATCTTCATCTTGTACTCCAATTTGGCATGGTACACTTGACTTTCCCAAGTTTGCCGTTTGGCCCTGGCCACACGAATGGCTTGGAGGTCGTATTGGATTTGGCGGACTTTGATATCAAATGTGTCCGCTTGCAATTGCTCCATGGCAACTGCTGGGACCGATGGAAGTGGCACGTTTGCCGAGTGCTGCTGCATGAGGCTTCTGATCGATTGGATGTCTCTAGGGTCTGTGTACACGGGCTTGTTCAACAAAGCCGATTCAACCTCCAGACAAACGCCTGGCTCCCCCATCCTCCATTTGTTCACCCACTCCTTCTCAAGCAGCTCTCCATCCACAGGAATGAGATCCAAGACCTCGTCTGCCACTGCCGACACAAATGCGGCATATTGAGCCGTCTGCTCCATCCGCTGCTTTTCAAGCTTCCTTCGCATCCCTGGAACCAACTGACGGTGAGATTCAATCTGATGCTGCACCTCAGATGCACAATGGCTTGATGTTTCCATGCCAAACCATCAGGGAAAAATGAATCGAGACCTAGGCGCCATCAACAGGTTGGATTTGCGCGTCACAGTGCCACGCGCTGCCCATGTGGCACCATGAGTGCTCCGGAACCTGATGCAAACATGACGACGCCCCCAGCTCATGTTATGTTGCAGTCCATCTCACAACACCCCCAATCACTAGAAATCACACATACCTTACTGCCGCCTGGCCAAATGTTTGTATATGTACATCTTAGTGGCTGGAAACCAGGCAAACACTTCTTGGATGACAGCGACTCATCGGACCATGGCGTCTGTTCAGTTCCAACTTCCACAGTGAAAGCAATGATGGACTCCAGCGCTTTGGGGTCATAAAATTCCATCACATTTCTCACTGATTGGGCTTTCTGGCCAAGCAGTTGGCCAGCCCTGGTTGAACGGCTGTTGTTTTGCTGCACCTGCGAAAGTCCAAACAGGCTTCAAAACAGTTGGACATTGAGACATCAGCTTTGACATGTGACTTCCACCTGTAGATCATTCAACCACAAGGCACCAAATGCAGCCCAAGCGCCAACACAGCTACATCCAAATTAGGCTCATGCTGGCGGAGCTTGAAAATGGAGGTAACCCAAGATCTTAGCCCAAATATATTTCAAACAGTTTCAAACACGATGGGAAATATTGGTAACAAGCTGAGTCTCAGACACCACATTGGGAGCGCGTCGGATGCTTCCACGCACTGACAATTTGAAATTTCCAAGGAACTCCTCCCGCTTGGTGGGCAAGGAAAGAATGTAACCACGGATGTTGCCCAGGCTGGCAGCAAATTTTGGTGCCACCTGACAACACCAAGCAACAAGTTATGAACAACACATAGGCATTGCAAAGCATGTGGTTTACAAAGTGAGACCCACAGTGTGGCCTCAGGCAAGTTCCATCCAGAATCTTGCGCCAGCACAGCCAAGGACAACGCCGTCAAAGCCCTGGTTCGGCCCTTGTAGAATCCCAAAGAAAAAGGGACCAAGGAAGAAGCTTGAAAAGCAGTCGTCCAGGGAGCTCTCAATGCCTGTCCAAACGTGACATTCCAAACCACACATGGAATGATTCCTTAAAAAACAAAATTCCTTGGCACCTCAGCGTCAGGCCCATAGAGCTGCAGCACCTCCTTGGTGAGCGCCTCAGACTGGGGCAAGAGCAACGCCTCTCCAGCGGTGACTAGGCCATCCTTCAAGATCTCTTCCGCCAGCTTCATGACAACATCTGACTCCGCTGGCCCGCGCACTGTCGCACTGTCCAAGAATGCAAGTGAAGCTGGGTGGATACGGAGGGTTTCTGTGTTAACCATGTCATCAGGGCTGATGGATGGCATATCCCTTCCCACAGCGTATTCATGTCCACTGCCACATGGGCAGAACCCGCTAAGGTAATCAGCAAAGCTCTGCAATTCCGTTTGTTGCTGGAACCGCAATTGAAAGAATTTCTCCAAGCCACCATACTTGGAGTGTGCCTTTTGCAGCAGATCCATCAGATCTTTGGCGTACTTTGCCTCAGAAAATTCCTCAATTTCCATACTTTCAAGGCCCCAAGCAGTTTCCACATCATTGGATTGATTGGGCTCTGGAGCACCACCTTCAGACGGCGCAGGAGCTTCTGAGGGGACAGGATTGGTCTCTTGTCCCCGGCACGCCAAAAAATGTCGCATGTCCACCTGCCGCCGCGACTGCATAGTAGACACAAATGCCGAACAAGATCTGATACCCACACAGCAAGGCTGAGCACACAGGTTTCTAGCTCAAATGGCTGCCACAAATATGGACGCATTTGGCTGACAGCTCACAGAATAATCTCAACAAATTGAATGGCAAACCATGGCTGGCTTCTCAAAAATCTAAGCACTGACCCTGTTTTCATTCAGGCACCCTGTATCTTTGGAAAAAATTTTTTTCCAAACATATCCGCGCAGATGGAGCGCATTCAAAATAACACTGGGTCCCTTCAGCATGCGCGCCATATCCTTTGAATCAGTGGTGTGGGCCCCAGTATCTATAGAAAAAAATTTTTTTCAAAAGACAGGGATGCGCATGGTGAAAACACCAGAGATGCTTGGAATTCTGAGATTTGGGCCAAGTGACACAAGGCCTCAGATGACTTGATATCTTTTGAAAATTGATGTTTGAATAGATATGTTTTGGTTTATGATATTTTTCTTCCTGTTTGGACCTTAGATGTTTCTGCCCCCTTCACAAGGTTCATTGACATTTCAAGTCTTTTTGGAGTTGCGATGTCACATCCAAACTGCTTGGTCATTGAAAGTCTCTTGCGGCGCCAAATCTGAGGACCCTGCCAATTTGAAGCCAATCACATCCTGGATAGGAATTATCCGGAAATCAGAAAACAAACCAATACCACCTGTTCCACAGCAAAAAAGATGAACCAGCATGCAGTGACGACTATCTTTGCTGTCCAATACACAACCCTGTTCTTCTGTACAGGTCGGTTGGTGCTAGCTAACCCAGAGAACACCTCTTGGATTTGGAAAGCTCGATGCTACCAAAGTGCAAACAACAACAAACTGCTCTGTCAAGATATATAGAATGCATAGTTGCCACTATCCCAAAAAGCCCACAGCAACAAGCTTCTTAAAAGAGGTTTATGCTAAACGTCTGCCTGTGGCACGGCAGGACTTGAAGCAAACACACACTAGCGACTATGAGACCTGGAGTGGCTGTTCCACCCCAACAAGGAACTGGCACCCCAACAAGTCAATGTGATGCAGTGCGTTTGGTGCTCAAGCATCCTGCCACAGCAATTCAACGGCAGTGCTTTTGGAATCACTGCCTCACATACTCAAGGCAGCAGCCAGCCAGCGCTCGCACCATTCCATCTGGGTACACTTGAGCATGAGTAGAACGGCGCACACCGTTCACACTTCCTTGGATCTGCTCATGAGTCTCCCCGCGCTGTCGGCACATGCATGCCTTGCCATGAAATTCAGCCTGGATTTGCGGGATGTTGCTCAAGAGCTTTGTGCCCTTCCTCATGAGCGATCCTCCTGGGCCGCGCAGCCCGTATCGGCACTGGTCAAACTTGGAAACTTGGGCGTTGGGCAAAGCCATCATTGCCTGGACACAATCAATTTGCCAACTGCTAGCTGAAGCCGGGTGCTCCAGAATGAATCCTCTTCCAGACTCTGCTTGCTTCACGGCAACCTGTTTGGTGAAGTCCATGAAGCCATCAGCCTCCTCACGGCGAAAGGCAGCCTGCAAGGGGTCCACTCGATTCTTGTTGGATCGCTGCAAAGCACTATACATAGTGCATGGTGGGCTGAGCATTATCACCCATGGCTTCCTCTGGTCAATCGTTTTCAAAGCCAAAGTTTTCATATCTGGAAGAGAGCAATCCCAACCTGTCTTGAGGTCTAGGGACAATTCAGCCACCAGTCCCATCTCCTGACAAATGGGAACCAATCGTGGCTGTGAAAACAGCTCCATCACATCGTCCTGAGGACTGGCAGGAAGAATGGCACTCCGCGGGTCCAGGAGCATCTCAACGAAGTTGGGCAAGTATGGTGCACTTGGAGTGTCTTTCCCACTCTGTTGTTTGGACTGTCGCTGCACCTTCTTCTGGGGCTGCACGTCGGCTGCCACCCCTGTGCGCTGCTGCTTCACCTTCATGTTCTCGGTGGCCTCTTTGGGTTGCGGTTTCACCTTCATCTTGCTGACCATCCCATCTTGGGGCTGTCGCAGCACCTTTTCTTTGATGCCTTTTCTGCTCGCCGGCTTCTTGAAGACCATGTCTTGGTCATCGGTCACTGGTGGAGGCAACTCAAAACCAACATTGGCCATCTTGTTGGTGGACATGGCTCCTTCTGATCTCTATCTCTACTGACCGATGGGGCTACTGACCTGATGCGCTGTCGATAGCGCGCGGGCAGCAAACACATTCTGCAACGAATGAAACAGGAACCATGCCCACAGGCCCTGCTTATCAGAAACATTGAAGCAGGGCAATTCAAAAATGAATGCATTGAAGAAGCTGCTGCGCCAGTCCTGCAAATCTCCCCAACATCATCGCAGTGGAACCTGTGCTGTGGATAAGAAATGTCACGCGCAGTGGAAAAGAAAAAAGCTAAGTGCACGGCCAATGGCAACGCTAAGACACAACACAAGTATCTGTGGGCGCTATCACAGCGCCCTAAAACCCTGCTACTTATTTTTCTTTGGTGCTGTCCCAGCACCTATGTGTATCAGCGCTGTCTCAGCACCCTAACAGTATATAATGTATATAAGATGTATATATATATAATGTACATAATATATAAAATATATATAACTAATAATAGATATGACTAAATAGAGAGAGAGAACAGTGAAATCTGTCTATTTCCTGCAAATGTGCATTTGATGGGTCGCTGTCACAGTGTCCTTCAAAACTCAAAACTGTAAAACATGTCTTCAAGATACACAACCTTCACCTGGTTGACTCATCACATTCTTTCGAAAACAATGCAAGATTTCAGATTGCCGCGCTGAGAGGCAAGCAAAGAAGAACCTGCCCACAGGCTTTCAGGAGACATTTCAAAAGCTGTGAGCAAAACATCTCACAGGACTCAGCTGGCACTTTCTCCAAAACAAAAAGTCATTTTCCATTGTCACACCTCTGCAGAACCTGCAGCACAGACTGGGCGGACCGGCTTCCCACAAGCATGCCTAAAGCATGCTGCACAGGTCCTAAAGCGTGCTGCAATTGCTAGCTGCGCTTGAGGCACTTATTGATGCACAAATTGGTTGACAACGTTGTCAACGGGGCAATGCTAAAGTTGCCCAAAACTGTTCAAACACACTCCATCCATCTGGCATTCAGTCCACATCCACTCCAGCATCATCGTCATCGTGAATCACCCGCCTGGTTGGGTAAGCTTTTCCCGATGCCAAAAAGTTTCGGCATTGGCCACAGCCATCCCACCTCCCTTTGCACTTCGGGCAACCCAAGCCGTTGCGGTTTGCAGGCCACTGGTACGGGCTGACATGCTTGCCCTTGGGCTTTGGCGCCGCTTTCACCTTGGCTTTGGCTGCACCGGCAGGCATTGATGCTGCAGGGCGCTTTAGAGGAGCTCCACGTCTCTCAGGCGGACCAGCTTTTGCCTCAGGCATTGATGCTGCAGGGCGCTTGAGAGGAGCTCCAGGTCTCTCAGGGGGGCCAGCTTTTGCTGCAGCCTTCGCTTGCGCCGGTTCAGCTTTTGGCTCAGCCTTCACAGTGGCGGGTTCAGCCTTCACTGTTGCATCAAGCTTGACGGCTGGCTCCGACTTCTGTTGGATCTCTGGCTTCATGGGCTTGGTCTTTGGCTTCTTCATGTTCACGCCTGACTCCACCGGCTCTGAGCGATTCTGTCCAGGGTTTCCCAGATTTGGCTCTGCATCCGACGCATCGTCATCCAGGAGAGCCATGGGTACCAAAGAGCTGGAAGCACGATCATGGGCCGAGGTGACAGGCTCCAGTCTCACCTTCACAAACTTGGGGCCCAAAGGCGCAAAGTCATGCCACTCCTTGTCACCTGGAACCTCGCCCACAGCAATGCTGCTCTCTTGAGTGGCCAGCCTGGTAGGCGCTGATTCCAAGAAGTGCAATGGCTCCAGCCACCCACCAACCTGCAGTCCAGCCCGGTTGCGCCGGCACAAGTCCATCAGATAGTCCCGAGCCCGTGTCAGGTTCCATGGCGGGGCTGCCACAGCTTCAGCTGTGCGCTGGTACTTCTTGGCGGTCTGAACACTTATCGGGTTTCTGTCCATCAGCTCATTTGGCGCAGGGTGGCTAAGCAATGAGACTCGCGCTGCTGGCAAGAGCAAGACAGGCAACTGCGACAACTCCTTGCTGGACATTTGGTGCTTCACCAACAGGATAGCATCTCGGCTCTGTTCACTTGCTGTTCCTTCACACACATCTTGAGCAATCTCCCAGTCAGTCCCATATCGTTCAAGATCTCTTCTTTGAATGATTCGGAAGGAATGATTAACTTCTTTGTCGTGCTCGGTAATTGTCAATCCTGCCAAGTTCAGCCTCAGTGGAGCATGCCATGCTTGGAAGTTGTAGGAGCCGTGCAGCACCTCCACCCTCACAACCCGGTTCTGCTGTGGCTTGAGGTTCTCCTGGATCTGCTGGGCAAAGTCCTGCCACAACAAAAATGATCTGGAAGGAAAGGTGACACAAAATGTCAATTTGCAATCTGCTTAATCTGCTTAATCTACTCTTTCTACTTGCAATTTGCAATCTACTTTCGAAAAGTGCTCCCTAAAAGTATCTGTTGTCCTGCATGTGAATGACCATTAAAGAAACAATGTCAGACTAACAGCTCTTGAAGATCTTTGACAACCCCCTTCCATGATTGTTCTATGAGGCCGCGGTTTGGACATCGTGGAGTCCTCGGGAGTCTGGAGGACCTGTATCCTATTCAGGAGCGCTGCCACGCACTGGAATCGCTGGTCCACTAGGTTGTGGGTATGCCCCACCCGGAAGAAGCATAGGGAGCAAGACCGAAACAGGCCTCTGGCCACCATTGTTGCACAGCAGTTCAGCATGTGCTGGTTCCTTCCTTCCCGGCATGTATTATCCTGTTGGATTGATAGGTGTGTCGGGAGCGTCAAACCGCGGAGCTTTAAAATCTCCTCCACGATGTCCAAACCGCGGCCTCATAGAACAATGAATCACGCAAGGGTTTCGTCAAAGATCTTCAAGAAGCTTGTTCGACCGACTTGGCATAACACACATGACAACAACACACTGCAACGGGGCAGTGACTTAAGCATTCAGGAAACTCAGGAACCGACACAAAGCGGTCAACTGAAGGTTGCTGTCCTTCTTGAGGTCTCCATCTGTGATGATGAAGACTTCACAAACGCCGTGGAAGATCAGGCACAAGTTGTGAAGGGAAGGCTTCCACAAATGCTCCCAGCCCTTGTGGTTGGCAAAATGCCGCGGCACTCTGTACTTTGCCTCTGGGTGAACTTGTGCTCAAAAATAATAGTCCCAAGAAATTCACAAGTTTACCATCATCTATTTCTCAAAATCAATATTGACAACATTTGTTTTTTGGTCGACTTCAATACTTCAGCGGCCTGGTCCATGCCGTCAATGCTGCAATACAACGTGGCCATGGACGGGGCAATGCTGACATCATTCGAAGTGCTCAATTCGCTGTGCAGGGCCAATCTGGCAGAAATCTCTCTGTCCATGAAGACGACCTTCAAGTGCTTGCTATAGGCTTCTTCAATCGCAGGTCGTGTGGCAGCGGTCGCTGCCTTGCGGAATTCACAATACTTGGAGCAATCTTCACAACGGCTATGTTGGCTCATTCGGCGTATGCGCAGAATGCCGCACCAGGTCTTTTTCCAAGCTTTTTGGAATACCGACAAAGAACAAGGCTGCCCACCAGCACCTGACACCCACAGCTCATACTGGGCGTACAGGTCAGAAATCTGACAGTGGTTCAGCCATCTTTGATCTCTGGCCGCAGCAGGCACCGCTGAAGCAATGTCAGGGTTCGCAGGCTTGGCGCTGTCACCTTTACCCAACACCCATTCATCGAATGGGTTCACAGCCTCACCCTTTTCGAGCAATTCTTTTGGGATCACATCGAAGGTCCCACCCTCGAGGTCATCAGCCTCAAGAGCATCCCACTCTGTCTCATGCCCCCAGCCTTCAGCAAGTGGCTCGGCCACGTGCAAATACAAGAAATTGAAGAAGGCGTCTGCATTCATCATAGCTGGCCGGTCCCTGATTGTGCGAATGGAACGACCATCCATTGGGGCCTCAATGGAACCTTCCAAGATGGATTCCACCCTCCTGGCATAGTGAGTCTTGGAGACGCCTAGGAAGGCCAGGAAAGCTGCTTGGCAGACACGGACTCCCACAAACTGCCAGGAAGTCAGTCGTGCAAACTTTCCATCCTTTGTCTTGTGCATGTCCCAGAGCATGGTGTAGAGAAACCGATCACGCTCCTGAGTGGTCATGTCAGACAGCTTCTTCTTGAAGGCCATGACCTTCTCGCAAACGTCTGGGTCAGAGGCGAACTTTTGCAAGCATGCCAGGTTGCATCTGCAATCCTGTTCCATCCACCTCCAAGCAGATCTTCATGATTATTATTCTTACAATTTTCGGGGAACCCTTCTCAACGTCTTTCAACTCACAAACGTTTGAGTTCAACAGAACACAATAGTATTGCTACCCAAACATGCCTCGAGCTTTTGTCATCTTCACAGTCCACGTTAGGAGGTAGCTCCAAGGCTGGCGCCGCAGGCGCCACTGAAGACGCAGCTGAAGACGCAGGTGGTGCCCGAGGTGCACACACGTCACCAAGACAAAAGTCAGTGAGACTCAGCCCCTCATCATTTGGAGGCAGGTCCAAATCAGCCGCCATTGCCAGCGGAACCCAAAGCGGAACCCAATGAGCCCCCTCAAGACGACTGAGTGAGACAACAATTCAAAGATCCAGCTGACTGAAAGCAATAAGACATCCAGGGATACACTGAATACTACTGCCAACATATGCCCAAAAATTGAAGGTGTTTACACGTGCTACCTTTGGCAATCTGGCGACCCCACCAGCGCTGTTCTTGACAGGAACCCCAGAAGTCCTTGGTGAGCCGGGAGTCCGCCTACTAGGCCCTTAGGCGGACTCCCAGGCCAAAACCCACAAAAAAAGCGCAGGGCAACACTGCAACAACGCAACACGGGCATCCCAGACTGTAAAACACCCATCTGGTCATTCATTGATCGATGCTATCACAGCACCCTATATTGGAAGTGCACTGGCGCTTCACAGCATCCACCTGACACAACGGCGCTTCACAGCATCCATCTGGCATATACTTTGTCATATATATATAATACCTATTTGTATGCTTCATATCGGTGCTCTCACAGCACCATATAAGGGTATTTACCAGCGTTAGATTTTGTACTGGTGAGTTTGTATCCTGGCATCCTTTGTTCACTCACGGCGTTTTAAAAGGCTTCTGTGGCTTTCAAAAGGACCCTGCTGGCTCCCCCAATGCTTGTGCCTTGTCAACATCAAAGATGCACATATAAATGCCTAAATAAAAAACCTTAAGGCGCTGTGACAGCACCTGTTCATTGGATTACTCATGCGCTTGCCCATTTTCCTCTCAGCCTCGACCAATGAAAAAAACGCCCCCTCGTTGATCGTTTTTTAAGGTGGATGGCAAGGATGTTTTCAAATCTTGAAAAACTTGGAACTTGGTGATGGTGGTTTCCTGTTTTTCAACAATGGAAGGCAAATGAACTTGGGGGGACCCTTTTTCCTGGTCGAGACTGAGCGGAAAGATTTTGGAAACATCATAGGTTTGGAAACCTTGGGCTGTGAACCCCGGGCCTGTTATAAAACCCAAGTGGACATGCCTCTCAGGTCAGCTCCGCTGTGCTTTACAACGACAGGCTCCCCCACATGAAGCCGGTGGCCCCAGAGCCAGTTTGCATCCTTAGGCCAGTCCATCAAAGAGAGAGTCTGATGGTTCATGTGGGCATATGAGTGACCACCTGGCTCCATAGAGGACGAACACGCAGACAGACAAACAAGCGGACGGACACATGTATCAGCCAATGTGTACACACCATGTATGCAAGCAACGCCCGGACACCCAAAACAAATTGTTTCAGAAACAATTGCCTTTGTCATGACTGGTGCGGCAGAGCCAATGGCCACAGAAACGAAGGGGCCGCCAAGCAGTAGCTCCAGATCCCAGAAACACATGAAGGACCCGAGGGAGACCAAGACACAGAAGCAGAGGGCCTCTTCCAGCAGCGAGAAAGATGAGAGGAAGAAAAGAAAGCAAAGCAAGAAGATGGAGGAACAAGGGAAAGAGCAGGATGCCAAGGGAATGACAGATGTGTCAAACACGACAGAGGAAAAAGAGAACAAGAGCAACACAGAGAAAGAAGATGAAGTGCAGAAACTTAGCCAAGACAAAAGGGCAAAGAGGAAGCCCCTAGAGAAGACGGATGATCCAAAGAAGGGTGAAGACGCCAAGAAACTGAAGATGGAGAGCAGTGAAAGGACACAGTCAAGGAAGGGTGAAGATGCAAAGAAATTGAGAAACGAGAAGGAGGACAGGAAACGCATAGAAGAGAAGAAGCGGGAGGTGAAGGAAAAGGAGGAAAGGAAACGCGCAGAGGAAAAGAAGGCCAGGCACCAGAAAGCTGAAAATGCCAAGCTAGAAGAAAGCAGACCTGGACCACCTCCAGGCCCACCACCGCCAGGGATTCAGTCCCTGCCAAGCCCCTCTGCCAATCTACCCCCAAAGGATTGGGTAGGGGCATCAGCAGGAAAAGGAATGAAAGAAGGAGGAAAAGGGAAAAGGAAAGATGATGGAGAATTGTTTTCGATGAGAGGGGGAAAAGACCTCCAAGGCAAAGATGGCAAAGGAACGCTAGACTTCCAGCACGTCGA